TGTGTTTGTTTATTGGTTTGTTTTGAAGGGGATTATTTGTCGGTATAGGAGTATTGTTTGGTTGTTTTACTTGTTTTCTTTCATTGTTTCTGCCAATGCACATATATCTTTTACTACAGGGCTGTTATTTTTCCTTTTTCCACATTTTTTTCCCCCTCAATGGGAGCCTCTTAATTTCGGATTTACAATTGCTTAGAGGGAGGAGTTTGGGTCTTCCTCATAACTCATCCTCAGCAAAACACCTGTGTCTCATTTAAACTGAGACAGCCCTCATCTGTGTATTCTAATTAGGAGATGGAACAACACCGACAGCTTTTCCACTTCACCCTGCAAAGGCTTGAAGTCAGAGAGGGGGAATGTTTCTTTAGATGACTGTAGCTCTGACTCTGTTTTCCCTTCTCTCATTAATCTTGCATACAACTCCTCTCGGAGCACACAGGCCCTTTCATTCCTTATCTCTTCCTGGAGGACATTGACAGTAGTCTCTCGTTCCTCCAACTGCATTTGCAAAGATTTAACCAAATCTTGCAGGGAAGTGACAACTTCCGTATGATATTTTAGCTGATGTTCTTTGTTGTTAATTGCACTTATTACAGCTTCACCTAATAATGAACAAACAATAGGTTTTCCTTTACCCTTTTTGACTCTTGCCCCTGCCTGCAGGATAGAGATTCGATCAATAATTGCTTGAATATTATACCAATGATCTTGTGCCCATTCCATTCCCGGAGGAGATGGTCTGGCACCAAATTCATCTAATAGATTTGTAAGTGCTTGCGCATTATGTTCCATGGTACCACAAATTGGCAGTGAATATGTTTCCAGGGGTTACCTCTTGAAAGTTACAGCAAATTTCCAAAGTTCTTCACTCCTCTCCCTGGAAAGGCCCCTCTTAAAAGTTATATTACAGCTAAAAGTGGGGTGTGCTTATCCAGGGGGCCCCTCGTAAAAGTTAATTTCCAAATTTTCACCCCTTTCTCCCTGGAAAGCATTAAGTTATATCACAAGTTCAGAGTGATCTTCCCCAGAGAGCCCCCCTTGAAAGTTACAGCTAATTTCCAAAGTCCTTCCTCTGGAGAGGTACCTCTTAAAATTGTTGGCCAGTCTTCGCGAACGAAGAACCGGGGAAGGTCTTTACACCTTCCAGCCTGCGCATTGGATTTTTTAGGTGAGACACAGTGTGCGCGGAACTGAGCCCACCCTTTAATCCTGAGGTTCATCTGCCGGGGCCAAGTGAGCTTGGACGGTGGCAGCGAGGTCCTCAGGACGTAGATGGATTGCCTTACAGGGCTAATGAGCTCCATCTGCCTGGGGAGTGTCCTAACCAGGAATCGAACCCGAGTCTCAGCGTTGACAGCGCTACGGTTTAGCCACAGCACCACCAGGGGCACTCAGACCTCTTAAAATTACAATGTGGACATTAGCTTCAAAAAACAAGACAAAAACAAAAACAAACATACTAACAAAAGCTTGCAAAGTCAAATTCCTAAAGTCACACAAAGTCAAAAAGGTACCTTATTCTGTTTGTCTATCACAAAATGATCGATCATAAAGATTAGCAATTATCAGGTTTTGGAATGAACAGTTTTGCTTCAAGGGTATCTTGTCCCATGACGCCAATTTAGAAAATGTTACAATCTACTTAAATATTGCAGAAAGAACTTCAGATTCAAATATTCCCTTGAGCAAAATTGAAACTCACACAAGTTATCTGTTGATGCCCAAACCTGATTTTTATTTAATTGTTAAGTGATGCAAAGATAGAGAGGAAAAAAAAGAAAATATTGGAAAATGTTAAGATTATTTTTTAGAAGCAGAGAAAAGATACCACCAAAAACTACCTTTCTGCCGTGTTGGTGCGAGGGGAGGGGGGCAGGGGGAGAAACAGTTTTCTGCCTTTTTTTTTTTTTTTTCTCTCTCTCTGCTACTTTTTTGGTGTTATTACCTGCAGGGGGTTTAACAGCTTTAGTTCTCTGGAATGCAGGATGTGTGGTTTCCTTGCTCACGCTGAGCCGTGTCCCAGGCCGTGCAGTGTCCCAGTTCAGCCACAGTTCCCTGGCCCTCAGAAATATAGTGAGGCCGGAAGGATAAGATATAACTCACACATGTGGCATGGTGGTCTCAGTTCTCTCCAGGCCGGCAGAGTCTCAGTCTCCTGTTGCAGGCAGGCAGCACGTGGTGGTGGAGAAAAGGTGAGGGGAGGTGAGGAGAGATTCCTGGGGCAACCAGTTCTCTCTCCCTTTCCTCTTCTCTGATTTTCCAAAATTTGTCCTTAAGTTTTATAGTGTTCAAAGGAGATTGCACGTGGTTTCTTGGCATGTAGCCGGTTCAGATGTTTGAGGAGATATGATAACCCTAAACAATGGCAGGATCTTTTGGCAGGAAAAGTCCCGTGAGAAGTCCTAGTAAGAACTTCTGGCAGAGCTGACAGAGAATGTTTGGTAGGAAGTTTTTGACAGGCAGAACAATGATGAAACATAATTGTTGGCAATTCTATATTATCTGTGTGTTACAGAAGGTTTCTGTACTGATAAAAATAGTTCATGTTATCTCTTATTTACATAATTGCTTGTGAGGAACTGGACTTTTTTAACTGCCTTAAAACATTGCTACTATAGTGAGTTGTGCAAAGAAGCCAGGAGAGTGAAGATAAAGGCTGAGGGGAGGAGGCCATAGCCCACAAATTGTTAACTTTGAAGGCCCAGAGGGCCACTCTTTGGGTGTGTGATGCTTCTCTAGGTGTGTGATGCCTATCTAAAGAAGATCAGCAGTGACTCTCTGGGTGTGTGATCAAAACAGCCCCTACCACACACACACACAGAGACACCAGGAGGGTTTCTGAAGGTATATAAACCCACCAAATTTTAAGATTCATGGGCTTCCCTCCCCCACCACTCATTGATGGACCAGGACACCAACAATGACAACAGCAACCAAGTTCACTGGAGACCTTTGAGTGGTGACTATAAACGCTTACTTTTTCTCTCTCTTCCCTTCTCTCTTTTCCCTTTTATTCTTTTCTCTCTCTCTTTTCCCTTACATATTTTCTTGGGTGATATCTTCATGCTTTTACATTGCAATATTACAACCAAAATGGCTAAATACCTGTTTTCCTTTGCAATGCCTTTATGCTTTTATATTGCCATGTCATTATAGATAATAACAACCAAAACAGTTGCATACCTGTTTTCTTTTGCAACCAAATTGTTCTAAAATAAACCATATATATATATATATGTAAACACTGATCATGTGGTATCGATTTACTTTAATTCACCCCAAGGGATTTATTATTAAAACAAAAGTTACTCCTGCCTGGCAGGACAGGTCGTAATATTGGTATAAAAGTTAAAGACTTTTATCCAGTTCTGGAGGGGTACATTATTTCATGGTTTGCATATTTTTATGGAATGGAGACAGGAGTGAGTAATGCTCATGCTTTTTAATTGATTCACCTGAACATCCTTGTATCCAGTATCCTTTTTGTCACAAAGCAATGGAAAAGACCATAGATCCAGTGAAAAAGATCAGTGGTTTGCAAATCCTGTCAGCCAGGTAGTACTTCAGCTTCTGAAAATCTTGAATAGATTCACAAAATCATCAGTTTCCTTCCTCTTTTCCTCTCTTAGCCTCCAAGAGTGGATATTTATTCTTTTGATGGGAACTCTTGAGATGATTTGTTGAAGGACATTATTTGACCACAACGGCAGTCAATCTTAATAAGACGAGTCTTAACTGTTGAAAAAACACTCATCCTAAAAATTGCTGACTGACCTTTCAGTTCATGACATTCAGGTCTAAACTGATCTTTGTCAGTAACTGTGTAATAGACTTAATACCTCAGTGGCCAGCTCATGCCACCTTATAAGAGCTACCTGATTCGTAGGAAATGAATCTTGAAACTCGGTGATAGTTTTCAGGGCAAGAAATCTTTTGGTGAAATGAGAAATTATTTGTCTTTTAAAATTTATTTTTCCAGTTGTGATCCATTTTGTGGGACAGATAGCCTGTAAGATGAAGACATTTGATTTTATTCTTACCACATCTCTGGGTTTCTTTCAGTTGAATTGGATTTGGAATGTCTTTAGGGTTCAGGGGTTTAATTTTTGTCAGGGGGTATTTTGAAGGGATTTTGTTCTAATGGCTGGCATATTTCCAAGTGAAAATAACAGAAGTGAGGTACAGAATATGTATGCTCCCCCTAGGTGGCAAGATACTTCTGTTTCAGCAGAGGAAAAATTATAACTTGTTTCTTGTCAACAGCTGCATCTTTTAAGACTTAGCATAGGCATTTCAGAACTTTTGTTGAGTGCAGTTGCTGTGCATATAAAGGACCAAGGCTAAATTCATCTGTATATTTTGCTTATTTTGAGGTCTGAGTTGTCATTGTAATTCCTTTTTATCCAAGGATGACAGTGCTCTAAGTGATTAATGGGGTTTAGTTTACTGTGCAGCCTTCTATGTAACTGGCATCCTTTGCTTCAAAATTTTTAGTGCCTCTGTAAGAAGGGCAAGTAATGGTGGATGCTGCTTTCTCTACTCTTAAGCTTGATACAAGTACCATGAGCATTTCATTGCTAATTAGAAAAGTTAGGACTTTCCCTCACTTGGTTTAAAAGGATTTTTACAATGCATACATTTTTCATATATGCATTATGATCCTTCATTTAATCTTGCAAATCATAAATTTAACATACAGAAGTGTTGCTACTGTATAATCATTTTTCCTAATACTTTCAAATATACAGTCATTCAGATAATATTGTGCCTTGGATAACAGAATACCATTATGAAGATGAATGGATTAAAAAAACTAAATTTTAACTATGAGTTGTGAATTTTGAACAGTGGATATAATAGAAGTGTTTGTATAAGTGCACAAAGAGCTTAGGCAGCATTGTTTATCTGTGGTGTTTACTTAATATGACCATTTTGTAGACACTAATTGTGAAACAGTAGACAGATGAATTTGAAGTGCTTCTACCTTAACTAAGAAAAACATACCAAAAAGAACCATTTCTATTCATCCAGTGATTCTGACTCTGAAGATGATGAACCCAGGAGATTCCATGTAGAAATAAAACCTGTCCAAACAAATGATAGGTCTCAATATACCATGCCTTCCTTGGATGAATTAAAAGTATCTATAGGGAACATTGCTCTTTCTCCAGCAATATCTGTAAGTATTTTTGTTCTTTGTATTTTTAATGAGTATAGAAGAAAAGTGGTAAAGAATCTTTAGTGCTACATATATTTTACTGTTCAGAATTTATTCTAGATTCAAGTTCAGCAATTTTTTTTGTGTGCACTATGTTATCTTTGATACATTTTATTGCAATTTGATGTTAAGCAATTCCCCCTTCTCAGATTTTAACTTTGAGTCTTGGGAGTGCTTAGTCCTTGTCTTTGCTGTTGCTACCACAAGACATTTGAATACATGGAGTAAGTTGAGCATAGCTTTAAACATAGTTTACTAATTCGTATTCAGTAATATACAAAACAGATCATATAATGTGGACACATCTTTTACAGTGCAGCTTTATTGTATGTATTCTGTCAAATCACAGAATGATCCTTTATACTGTGGGATCATATTGCAAATAAATAGTGTTAAAGTATGCTAGTACATTATTCACATCACACTATAGATGGTTCTGATTGTATGGAAAATATTATGCATATTAAAATAGTCATGATTATTTTTCTCTTTTTTCCCCCCACATTATGAAAGAAGAAACAGAGTTCTGTAAGTATAGAATGGCTTTTTATTCACGTTTTTAGATTAACACCAAGTAAGTGTAATATGTGAGAAAGTTATTGGGAAAAACTTAGGAATGTTTCTATTCTTACCTCACAAGCATACTATGTGATATAAAAGCTGTTTAATTTTACTGGCCCAGCCTGTCAAGGGGTTTAGTTGTACTGTTGCTTTTGTCAGCTCTGCAGTCTTCGTTCCTGCCTTTTCTAACTGGTGTTGTGGGTATGCACTAGTTGCTCTGTCCTGGCTCACGTTCTGGTCTCCTGCAAGCTCCAAAATAGTCTGCCTGGCATTCAAAGTAAAATAACATGGAAAGTTGAATGGAAATAAGATCCCTGGGACTATTAGGTATTTTATTTGACAGTTCGTAAAATAATTTATTCTTTTCTGTTTCAGGCACAAACTAATCAAAATGCAGCCAGTAAGTGTGAATATTTAACTTTTAGTCTATTTACATTAGGTTTTTTAATATGGCATGAAAATATTTTTTTATTTATAGTTGAAAAAATAAACTTATTTTTTCTATTTTAAGTAGAAAAAGTATTTCTCTTGTCAATTCTAGGTATGTTTATGATATTTGCATTTGAACTACTAACAATAAATTAAACAGACAAAATAAGTTATTTGGTCAAAATTTCAAAGTAGCTAGTAGAAGCCACCCAAAGGCCTCTTCTTTTTCTGTATACTCAGCTGTTCCCTGTTCTGAGAAACTGATGAGTCTGTGACAGTGATGAGGAACAAGTCCAAGAGCCAAAGAGGGGGGAGTGGGGATATCTGTAGAAATTACTCTTGTGTAAGTTGTTAAAACCCTTCCACCTGCACAAGTTGAGTATCACCCACAAAACAGCAGAGCACTCTCTCTCTGTTTTATAGTCAAAACCATAAAATATGGCCATGGAGACAGAGGACAGAGCATTAGTCTCTATCCTTTAGTGGTTTTCTCAGTGGGAACCCAATCCAGGTTTCCTGAAGAATAATATTGGTGCAGACAGTGTAATTTAAGGAAGAAATTTCAAGTGATCAACACTTCCTCCTGAAATGTGTTGCTTGACTTGCGGAAACAGACCCCAAAACTCACGAAGAGTATTGCAGCAGGTATGTTTATTCACAGCGTTGGGTGCACGGGGGATAATTCCTCCAATCACGCACACCCATTGTCTTTGTTCAGCAATTTTTATGCAGTATAATGTTACATATGCATTAGTAGTATTACGTATACATTAGTTATGTCACATGTGCATTATCTGTGTCAGCAAATTCCAGAAAAGTGGGAGGGGAAATTATTAACATACACCACTCCTATAACTCCGCCTTGGAATGTCCCCTTGGGATCTTCTTTTGGGGGTCTTTTGGATGAAGTAAGAAGTCTTCTTCAGTTTGAACTTTTTACTTTTGCTAAGAATTGCTGAGTTGGCACTGTCCAATTAACTCAAAACTGGTATCTTCTCCAGGAGCTTCTCTTTATCAACTTTCAAGGTCTTTTTCTCATGACCTTCAAAGCCTCTTATCTAAACTCTAAGGTTTTCTGTTCCTGCTAAAGTCTTCATTATAAAATTAACTATATCCTGTCTGTGAGTTAGCATAAGCAAGCAAGATTCTATCTAAAAATTAGCTAGTAAGCAACTAAGGCCATAATCCTGTACCACTGCTTTATATTCTGATCAACCCTTTATCACGCTCTGTTTAGTCCTCTCCTTTTAGAACGTATTTCAGGAGCATCTGAATTTATATTTTCAGAGATAATGCATTTCCTCTTCTCCATTTTAATAATTCATAATTAGTTTTGAACTGGGACTATAACATTTACTATTTTTTTATAATGAAGCTAAAAGATTTTTATTTTAGTGATGATAATGCTGTGTCTTTTCCTTAGGTGAAGAGTTAACAAAATCAAAGCTTTCTACTCCAGCTAATGAGTAAGTTCAAATTTTAAAATTATATCAAGTGTAGTTTTGGGGGAATTTGGTCTTACTTTAATCTAAGACTCTGAGAGTTATTGGAAATATCAGTTGACTGCTATTTTAAGTCAGGTGTTTATTGTATTGTAAGAGTTAATGAGTAATTACGTAACAATGGAGATTTCTATTCACTCATTTTCCCCTTCTAATGTATTTGTTTCATTCATGTTTCTAATTATGGGATTACAAAATATTGTTTTTTATTAAAATTTCAGGTTTTCAATAAGAGGGATTTAGTTTTCATCATATTTACAGTGTTCCATTGTCAAGTGTTTAGGATTACAAGTCTCAAATTTGGGCATTGCTCATATATGTATATACTGAAACAAATTGATTTGTAGATGTATGTCTTGTTGAAAATTAAAATAATTTACTGACATTATGCAATATGTCCACACACAAACTTGCACTGATTATCAGTTCAGATAGTTTCTTTACGTGTAAATTAGTTCCTTGACCTGCAATTTGTAAGTACTATTAATTTTGAGATGCAAAGGCTAATACAGAAGATGATTTACCAAAGTTGTAATTGTATGTTTATACACATATTTTGTTAATATTCTAATTGCAATGCTTACTGTAGAAAGGGAAACAGTGACCTTCTGGCATGGGATCCACTCTTAAGCAGTTCTCTTGAATCTTCCTCTTCAGCCTCCATAGTATCCTTATCCTCCTCAGGTAAAGTATTTGATAGTAGAAAATGTTTTTTGCATATTCTTCAGGATGTTCTGTTGTTGCTTTTCTAGTCATTGCAAGGAGATGTGCTTTGACTATTGAAATGAAGGGATTTTGTAAAGCAGTATCCTATGTTATGAGTAATACACAACTTGGAGTGCACTATGTCAGGCTTTCAAGCTAGGGAGCAAGGGGGAAGAGGGAACCCTAGAAACCTTAGGAAAATTCTATCTTGCTTTTTTCTTTTTTTTCTTTCATTACAAAAAATGATCATCTATGCTGGAGGAAGAATAGAATCCTATTTTTATAAAGTTGGTAAATGAAGTGGAGGTTGTCATAGCACCTGATATAGATGCTGAACTGACACTGTGAATAGGGGTAGGTTTCTTCTTTCCAGGAAAGCCTGTTGAGGTATGCAACTGGGTATTCCTTTTCCAAAAATTATTATAGACCTTACTTCTTTGTTCACAGTCATGGCTTTCTGTTTTCATCTGTACCTGCTCATACAAATTGAATATGAGTGAGAAAGAATACAATAGGAGAATTTTGTTCAACTAGTGCTAATTCTTCTTGGCTTTAGTAATGTCTTTTTAGTAGCAACCAACATTGCTATGTCAGCCCTTGTCCTTGTGGGTGACTTTAACCTGCCAGATATATGCTGGGAGCTCAATACTGCAGAGAAGAGGCAGTCTAAGAGGTTCCTGGAGTGTATAGAGGACAATTTCCTTCATCAGCTGGTAAATGAACCTACCAGGGGTAAGGCCCCACTAGACCTGCTGTTTACAAACAGAGAGGGGCTGGT